AGGAACAAAAATCTTATCTTGGTTTTGATGAGCAAATCAATAGTAATATGTGCTTTACTACCAACTAGTCTAACAGAAACCTCAAAATTAAGTTCAGAGGGTTGGTAAGTGATGCTCCAGGGATGAATTTAGCCTCTCCTGTCCTGCAGATCAGTAACGCTATATTGAAAGTAATGCTGTGCTACAAACAGCTTTTCTTAAAGAAAAAAAAGCCAACAACCCAGAGCGTTTTATATACAAATGGTCTTACTGTAACATTGCCTTCTCTACTCAGTCGACATTCCTTCCTAACATTTATGTTGAAACAGAGTTAAGTAAAGATTCATGTTGTAGTGGTGACAGGAGGAGTTGTTACACAAGATGTAAAGTTTCCCTTGGATTTCATGTCACGATTTTTTCTCATTATTTAAACAAGAACTACATTGAAGTGGTGCAGGTACCAGGCAATAAAGATTTCCCTTGGTGCTGACAAACTCTGAGACCGCAAACGGAGGTGCTTACATGCCACAAGAGATATTGCATAATGTACTTTTCCTAAGGCTAGGGATTGCTGTCACAAAGGAAACATCTTTATATAAGAACTACCATTATAGAAAAAAAAAAAAAAAAGCCACATTTAGTTCTCCTATATGAAGATTTCACTTCCAGCATGTTTTATTCAGCAAAGTATGGAAACCGTTTCTAAGCATGCAGCTTTTAACCTGCTTTATTTTTATTAAGCTGCTCTTTCAATTGCTTTGATTATTGTCAGTTATTGCACATTGTTATTTAGCAGTACCCAAGTACCAGAGAGGGAATATCTTGTTTGTTTAGAGGAAAAAAAAAAAAAAAGAAGGGAGAGCAATACATGTTTTGTGGAGAGATCTGACAAAGCTTTTATAACTTATGTAAGATACCTACCTATGTGATTTGTAGGTAGTTATTGAGTCAATTTGTAAGGCTTTTAGCAAGGGAATTTTTTTTTTTTTTTTTTTTTTTGCTATAGATGTTAAAGAATAAACAAAGCAAACAGGAAAAGAGTTTTACTGGAGCGCTGTAGTTCATCTGTGGGTCACTGGCATGGGAGTTGAGGTCCACATGATGTGTTAATTGAGAGAGGAAAAATTGGAGACAGGAATTGATTTAGAACAGTAGGTGTCTTTATCAGTGAAACAAACACAGAAGTAACACACACACACACCCGCTATATTGGTCAAAATACACATAAAGTAATCATTGGAAAGCAGTTGGGGTATTTCAGCTTTTAGGGGATTAGTAGCTGTTTTTCTGTATTCCAAAAATTACTGCAAGATGATAATATAAAGAACAAGGATATTTTATATTGACAAGCAGACTCATTTTCTTTTCAATAGGATGAAATAGGGCTTGAGCTACAGTCAAAAGGGATATTGAATAATGACACTTCTACTATTTTTTTTTTTAATTTTGAAACTAGTTTCCAGTAGAAAGACCTGAAACAAAACTTTCTACTGCATACAAAAAATATAGCAGAAAGATTTTTCTGTTTTAAATGAAAATCTTGATTACAAGCCACAAAACCTGAGGTGTTCTGATATTCTTATCACACTTATTTTGTTATTTTTTAATTTTGTTTTTTTTTTTCTGAAATGTGAAAGCTATTTTGAAAACTAAGCTATTCTAAACTGACAATGTTTTTCTGTCTTGAATGACTGAGACCTAGTGGTGCTTTGGTGACTAGTTGCAACTGCAGCATAAACCTGGTTACTGCTACCGTGAACACTTAGGAGCTCCTTTGAAATTGTCATTCTCCAAAGAAAATGTCGGGATGCAATGAAGACATAGAAATGAGGGTAGCCTGACAGCAGAAAGGTAGGCTGGTAGATGGAGTACTTGCCTTTCTCCTTGCTGTTGCCTGTTAGGCATTCTTTTGAATATGGACTGTTGTTACACCACATCAAATTTTGTTACAAGTCAATTTCTACAAACTTCCTTCCTTTCACTGTCATTACAGTAAGTTCCTGTCAGCCTGACATGACAGGGTCAGAAGCTTGCCTGGCAAAGAATCTCTTACTATCCTAACTTTGACAATTTACTTCAGTAAAGGATCTGCTTGTAGGAGTTTTGCCCCTGGTAAAATGGCAGAATAAATAAAAATTCAACAGAATAATTATGTTCTTTGTTATTGTTGTGCTGCAGGACCCTTCAAAATTCAGCTTTCCAGAGGTGGTATGTTTCTGTTTGTTGGAATGATATATGGATATATCTATAAAATATACATTTATAAAATGTTTTAAAAATTTTCTACACCAAAAGTCTTCCACTGACCGTAGTTTTTTTCTGGTTTAGAAATGTGCTAAATATATAGAAATAAACTTATTGATAGCAAAGGAATTTTCTAGAAATAGCACCATATGCCAGTTTAAATATCTGGTGAAAAAATATTTTTGATGTGTTTTAGCCAAAGTGTTGATTTATGGATTGCTAATTTCAGCATGCTGGATTTTTGCTTGGTAAGGTAGAGAGTTCTGTACCACCTCTGAGTTTAAAAGTCATGCGGTTATAATTGTTATCTCAGATGATGTTTCCATCAGCATGTGGCTAGTATGTCTTTGCAATGGAGGTAACCTTGGCTGAATAATGAATTGAACTAGACTCAGGCATCAATCATTAATGATGCTGCAGAGAAGATATTTCAGTAGATTTGTAAATCTCATCACTCAAAGAAAGACTATTTTAAAGGATGAGAGAGGTTTCATTTTCCAAAGAAAATACTTTATCTAGGCTTAGTCAGAAGAATTTATTTAAAATTTTATGTAAATTCCTGAGGTCCTTAAGGAGCCCCAAGACACAAAGTTCTACTTTAGTATACCTATGTGTTATATGGATTTTCAAAAGGATGAATTTTAATTTTAAAATATTAATTTAATCAGCTGGATATTGAAGACTTGAAAGCATTCATTCTGAGGACATTGTATTATAATCTACCCGTAGGCTAAAAGTCAACACTGCTATTCTTTAGTGATTCCCTATTCTCCTAACACAGATTTGGATTATTTTCACCAAAAAAAAAAAGTTAAAACACAGCTAAAAATATATTACAATCAAGTAGATCGAAGTTAGGTGTGATCTAATAGATAAATCACTGCTCTCTCAGGTGCTGGACTGCAGTTCAAGACATTTGACTCAAATTAATTTAGTGGTCACCTCTCACATATCTTAAAACAGTGGGATTTTCTGCTTGAGAAAGGTGGGAAATGGAGGTAGCATGAATGATGAATTGTTTCTCACCTTTAGGTGGTCTTTTCAGGCTTGAACTTATTTTGAAGGAGAATCGAGAAATACACATGGTCCTACTTAGGTTGTCCTTGGCTTCCGAGTTAAACAAAATGAAACAAACCAGTTTAACGTTACAAAATGTCCCAGTATTCTGCTTTTCCAGTCAAGTGTGTACAGGATTTTGAGACAGATGCTCCAAATGTTACAGTTCTCGGTATCTGAAGAATTTACTTATTTCTATACTCCTTTAATTACAGAAATGCTCTGCTTAACCTATTAAATAGAAATTCTTTTAGCTGTTATTAAAGACAAAAATGAACAAAAGGTATTTATTCCTTTTATTGTGATACTTGCCTGATTCATACAAATTTAAATGCATCTAGAGAATGTTCTGTGTTTAGTTTTTGAGTACAGATCTACTTTCACTTGCAGAAGTGTGAGTTAAACAGAAATTGAACTAACATATTTTAGGACTTTGTTCTGTAAAACCTTAAGTGATTAAAAATCCCTGTATGTTTAGTTATTTAGATGGATGGGCATGCTCTTAGGAGTATTGATTGTCTGCCTTTCTACTTAATGTGTTGTTTGCCACCATTATCTCTATTATTATATTACAGATCGCCCATTTTGGCGGTATGAGTATTAAATTTACTAATTAAGTTCTGTAAAAGACAAAGGTGATAGTTCTGGGTTTTGCTTGTTAAAGTCTAAGCATTTTTATTTAGCTGATTCCCCCCCGCCCCCCTTTTTAATTTCAAAACGTTATGGTCATAATCACATATGGTGAATAGATACCATATTTTGAACATAAATCCTTTTTGGTCATCCAGTGATTTCATCTATTTGTGACTGATAGTTTTGTGTTTAGGATTATTCAATGGTTGCTCTGTTTGGGTATCTACACACTTCTGTTGAACTAACCAAAGCACAAAATTTGAAGTTAATGCTGGCTGTCCTCTGGCTCCATAAGACAGAAGGTACCTAATTTAGCATAAACCCTGCTGATACAAACTTAATTCATCAGTATTTTCTGACAAAGAGGCAGTTTGTGGAAATCAACACTTTCAGTCATTTTTGGTCTGGTACTGAAATGATCAAGGCTGGATTTTCTCTGCCGTTAAATCATTGACTTAGATCGCTGCTCCACTGTGAATTTATTCTAGTCTGCTTTTTTTCGTGTCTCTGACTCATGACAGTGTATTTGTAACCATATTCAGGAACTCATCCAATTAAACTAATTCAGAAAAACAAAAAAAGAATTAGTTTTAACCTGCATCAGTTCCCTAATCAGGTTTGTTGTGTTACTGCATATGTGCCAGGCTAGAATGAGTATTGATAGAAGGAACAAGCAATTAAAGGTACTGAAGGAGGAAGAAGAATTTGTTTCTGGGTCAGTTCCAGCCATTTGCTGATGTAAAGTGTTCAAATAACTGGGATCATCCCAAGCAGTGCCAATGGATATGGGTAAAAAAAATGTGAATGAAATGATCTATAGGGAATCATGAATTGATAATAAAAATAAGAAAATGTGCTGCTAGCTCAAAAAGAAATTTAATTTTTAAGTTGCATTTTACTAAATTTTTTTTTTTTTCATTTAAATTCTTGTAACAGTAATGCAGCAAAATGATTCAGGAAAAAAAAATGCATTCTTGTCTTTTTATGCAATTTTCCTTAAGATAAATATCTTAATACATTTCTCCACCCTATTTTCCTTCCTCCTTCTACAGTATTTTCAAATTCATTAAAACATTACTTACTTTAAGGTTATCAGCAACCTTGGGCCTCTGGAGTGGATTCTTAATACTCCCAGTCATCACAGAGTTCATCATGGTAAGCTAAAAGTATAACCTCTTATTCCTCAGTGCGTATGTTCTCATGCTCACTATTTGTATAATAATAAAGTACTCAAGTTGTACTGTAAAATTAGTTTTATAGAAGGATTTTAATTTTGATCATTGCTTCAAAAATAGGCTTTGTTCAGCTAGAAATGTCACAGTATTTTAAAAAACTTTTTTTTTTTTTAATGTTAAATTTAAAATTTTTGCATTTAAGATTACTTATTAGGAGGAAATTAAGCCTGAATAACATGAAATAATTTTAAGACCTTGAGCAAAACAATTCAACATTTGTAAACATGAAGAGTGATAGGAAAAAAAAAAAAATCTCATCCTTCCCTGACTACTAAAACATCAACTTGTCAATCACTAACAGATGCTTTTGCATTCAAATTCAAGCACTGAATGTGTGAAAAGATGTGGTTACCTTTTAGAAGAACTGTAAAATATTTTAGTGGAATTTGGTTTCAGCTGTCTGAATTATTGAAAAATCTCACTTCACACAAGTGCATGATGATTGACTTTTTATCAGTATTCAGAGGCATTCAAGACAGTACTGCATATATAAGTTGGATTAATAACTCCATTACATACTGAAAAATGTCATGAACGTATCTGAGGAATCAAAGTGGATTTCATAGATGCCCTTGGCTCATTCAGTGTGCGGAGATAATAAGTAAAAAAGTATTAGGGGGATGGAAGAACAAAATAATTTGAAACAGACTCAAATGCAGTTATATGTACAGAGGACGTTATTAATATTTATTATATCCTCTATGTGTAAAGTGTTTATGGCACTGTGTAGACTTTTTAAAAAGACTGTGGTGCTGCAAGTGTCTAATCCTTAAAATTTGTACAAGTACTGGTAATCCTGGAGGGAGACACTCTGCTCTTATTTACTCTGCTGTAAATCCAAACTAATCCTCTAATCCTGATCGGAGTTAAACAGAATCAATCCAGAGCTGATCAAGTGTGGTACAGTCACTCCATACAATCTCCATGAACATGGGGATGTGTAATCAATGTTTCTTTGCTCATACTTTTGATAGGACAGCTTATATACAAATACATTCCCTAGAAAACAGATAGAAGGATCAGTTTTCCTGACACTGAAGTTAACAATAATGAAGGCAGGATCAGACATATGGCATAGAAGATAGAGACAGCTGAAAGCTATTAATGACTGTGCATAAATATATTTAGCATATATTTTCTTAGGTATAAACTGGGGAAATGATTTTTGTTTGCTTTTTAATTTGTATTTATATTTTTAAGTGAGTTTACTCTCCAAATGAATCCTTTTGTTTCCAGAAATTTTGGGTGTGACACCTTTGATTTGTATGTTTGAATCTGAGTAGAAAGAGAGCAATAAGCCTAGTAAGAAAAAAAAAAAATATAGGCATATAAGGAATGATGGGTGCTAATGAAGAAGATTTCCCTTCATAATTCAGTAGAGTGTATTCTTACATACACAATTATTGATTTCATAAATGGTTTTTATAGGTAGAAATCCTTACTGCATTGACAAAAATTATGGCGGCACACTCATTATCTGGGACAGGATATTTGGTAAGTAAAAATAATGTGTTTTCCCTCATTTTTAGTTAGTGTGGCAAAAATATGTATACTTTTGAATTTGATTGTTGGTTCTGTTTTTTTTTTTTCTTCTTCCATCAGGAACATTTGAGGCAGAAGATGCAGAAGTTGTATATGGCTTAACACATCCAGTGAATTCATTTGATCCCATCATGCTCCAGGTGCTATAGTTTGTATCACTGACTGGTATCTTCAACAGCATTCACATTCAAAAGTAACTCCTCTCTTAAGCAGAATTGAAGCTATCCTTGCATTGCTGCGTAGTCAGTTAAATCATCTACAATTTCTTCACTATTTAATTACAAAACAATTATTTCTACTCACTGCATCGAGCGTATGCAGGGCTTGTAGTCATCATGAAAATACAATACAGTAACATTAACAACTAATTACAATGGTGATATTGTAATGGCCTTCAACTTGATGTCCATTTTGCTATATGCAAAGCAATATGCACTGAAGCACAAAAATATATATTTTGTCTGTTATTTGTCTTCTTTACATCTTGTTATTTCATAAATAAACCCATGGGGTAATATCTTTGCTATTATCTCTTCTGCATATTTACAGTTTAAGGTATGCCAGAATGATTTGTGTTGACAGCATTAGATAGCAGCCATCATGATCTCAACAAAACCTCCAGAACAGGTTGAATATAAGGGTTTTATTTAAAAAAAAAAAAAAAGGAAAAGAAAAAATAAGAAAAAGTGCTTAATGTGGTGCTGCTTAGATTTATTGGTTTAGGATTCACTTAAGCTGGATAAAAATTCTCTGTAAAAACCTCAGGGACTGAGAAGCATTGAAGTCCCTGTTTGCTCTTCATGACTGTTCACCCAAGGAGGCATCTCAAAGAATGAGAAATTCTACCTACAGGGGTGTCTGGGCTGGAAGCTGGAAGGATGGCCACAGCCCACAAAATTATGTCCGTTCCAGTCAGATACTAAATAATTTAGGTATTGAGAGTATGTCATGTCAAGGTCCCAGTAACCGAATTCTAGTTTAAAACAACCATAAATACATCTATACAATATACGAGGAAATACTCTGGATTGATTACAAGAGAGACAGATTTTCCTCAGGCCAGAAGTCAGTGTAATCCTCACTATAAACCAAGGACTTTGATACGACTCTTTCCTATTTACGTCAGGTTTTCTGAACCTCTGACTGTCTTCAACAATTCCTAATTTATTCTCGTTATGGACTTTGAAAAATCATTTACTTGGGAGCTAAAAATGAATAAAATATAATGTTTTATTAAATTTTATTTCACTAACAATGAAGAATTACTTGCTCTTTTTTTCAGTTACGTCCCTTGGCTCATATTTGGAGCACGTTTTGGGCCACACCTGGATTCTGCAATAAGCTTTCTGTCATATTCAAAGGGCCAGGCTGGGGACCAGGCAAACCTAGACTTGGCCTTCCTGAGGAAATCCCAGTGGTAAATAGAACATGCACAGGCTTTCAGTTTTGTGTAATTTACTTGGACCTCTTAATGCTACTGGATCAATGTTAAAAACTCTACACATGCTATTTTAAATTAGCAAATTAGCAGTCATAAAGCATAGGGGAAGATAAAATGGGAACAGAAACTGAAGGAAATTAATGTTTTAGCTCTCCTTTTTTTTTTTTTTCTTTTCATTTGAAGGAAAGAAATATATTTTTTTACTTCTCTTTTCATTATTCATTTCCTAAAGAGATTTTCAAAACTGTTCTATAGAGTACAATATTTTCTTTTTTTCTTTTAGCTGTGAACATAAACACACACACTGTCTCACACTAAGTAGCATGTAAATTTGATAGTAGATTATCTTAGTACAATTATCTCTGTCCCTTAATCTTTTTTTGTGGTTGTAAGTATAAAGAATACTAAGGAATAACAGGCCGGAGCAGGTCACTGTCAAAGGCTATTATCTCTTTTGCTTTATACAGATCACTGGAAAAGAAGTTCCCTTCAATCCAAGTGTACCGGTTTATTTTAATTGCTATGCAGTTGTACATTTTGCCGTAATAGTGGACTTGTATACTGAACTTCTTGGTACTGTGACCGTAAGTACTTCCTTTCTTTACTGTTAGCATGAGATGATGTTTCATAATAGGACACACAACATGATTAAATAATAAAGCATTGAGTAGAGGCTCTACAGCCTGACTCATATACTATTTTATTTAAACTATTGTAATAGTAACTAGAGTCTGTAAAAAGAATCAACATAAATGGCTAAATATATAGCTATCTAATATAAAATATATGTTTGGTATTTTTTATTAGTCAATATTAACCATATTAATTATTTACAGATAAATATGCTTAAATTAAGGAATTAAATTTAAAAATAATAAATGTTCCATGGAAGACATATGTGTCTGCTTCTGTTTTTAAGACCTCATGAGAGGAAAAATATATCTCAGAATTGAAACTATGTAGGTTTTAAGATGTCAAGGTTGGTCACATTGTTAGATGCCAATAATGCCTAAAATTTAGAAGGAAGATTGCAAAGGTCTTGTGGTGCTTGATGGTGGGAAGCTTGGTGTCAGCATGAGTTTGGAGTAGGTGGAGCGTAAGGGCAAATCCTTCTTCCAGTCTGGAACATACAACAGCATTGATAGAAGTAGAGCAAGGAGAGGCACATATTTCCCACCTCATGTTTGGGCTGACAGGATCTTCCTGGTAACACAATGTGGTTCCTCCATGGATACCTAGAAGTCTCTGAAGGTGAACTACAAGGCCGTCTCCACCTGCAAGAAGTGAGATATTAACTGCTTCCCTGGGTTCACAGCCTTCTAACTTCCTTTTCATTCTTCCTTCCTTGACAACTCTATTTTACTGAAGGTAAAATCTTTTCGTTATGAAGCATAATTTTAACGCATCTAATATTCCCAGAAATCAGCCAAAGACCGTTATCAAAACACCCCAAAAGTCTATCAGTTTGATAAAATGCCCCTTGGCCACCTTCTTAAACCCTTTCTAAGATCTCCTTGGTTGAAGAGCAGTCTTGTTGTGTTTGTGTCACCCACATTGCCATAGAACTGCTGTCAGGGTGCCAAGGGCCCCCTGGGTTCTTCAGCCTCTGCTCGCCTGTGGACTCGCCTTGTCCCAGCACACTCACCCAGTGATCTCCAACCCTTGGCCAGTGGTGGTTACTGTCCCCTGTCCACCTCGATGGACAGTGCAGAGCAGCACCCTTCTTGTGGGTCTATGGCCCTGTCTACTGGATGCCACTGGGCCCCAGCCCCTCTCACTGCACCCCGATGCCTTTGCCCATCACCAACATGTCTGAATCCAGTCAAGAGGCAGATTTCTAGAAATGTCTTTTGCATATCTGACCATGGTCATCCTTGAAAGATTCCAGAGGATTGCAAAGCCATTTCAAATTGTCAGAGCCATTGTCAGAAATCTTGTCCAAATGTTGATATTGTGGTCTTCTGGTTCAGACTTGAGTCCCAGGGCAAGAAGGGCAAGAGAAGGACTCTGTCTGTAATTATTTCTTGGGATACGTGGCAGCAGGCTTACAGCAGTTCTGGCAGCTCTGCATATACTAACTGCTACAGCCCTTTTTTTTCCAGGTATTTGATTAGATGTATTCTGAGTAACACATCAGACCATTAGAATGATGCAATTTTTGAGAAAAGTTTTAAAAACATTTTATGTATCATTCCTGATATAATATAAAAGCTACCTCAGGCATACTCTTCTGATTAATATTAAGTTATTCTACATATTGTGTTCACCTCCATAAAGGGTCACAGTGCAACTGCAGGGAATATGGAGATTACTAAACCATCTGAGGCTTAGCCTATTCTAAGTAATTTCTGAGGACAGGAAATTGAGCCAAAGATAAGGATAAATACCTCCAATGTATACAAGACATACAGTATACATGATTGCTAATGTTCTTATATCGAGAAAAGCCTCTTCAAGATTTTCCAGATATGCTTCTAGATTCCTACATAGCAGAAGCAAGTCGTATTTGCACTGAGATCACACTGTGGAGTTCTTGTTTGATTAGTTTTTTGTTTCTACTTTTTTGCTATTGCTTTTAGCAGCAAGAAGTAAGGAGTCTGCTTATGAATTTTTTCCTATTTTATTCATTTCTCTTTTCACCTTTTTGTGGTCCTGGAAGGAAAAATGGATGGTCCAAATTATTTTCTCTGCCGATAACTGCAACTGTTTAAGAATAGGTAATAAGGAAAGTTGAAAAATGCACCCAAGCCCCAGATGATCATTAAATTCTTGCTATCATGGAGGAAACGTCCTGAAGATCCACATTTATTAACTTATTGGAGGAAAACAACTAGAAAATTCTCTGCAGAAAACTGTAGGGTAATAAGATAGTAAGGATAAGACAGAGAGTGTCTAGAAGCACCTCATCTCAGGACATAAACCTTCAGCGTGGGTGTAGAAAGTGCTGGTCCCAAGGCAGAGTTCCAGCATCGCTCTGCAGTACAGTGGGGAAGCTGTCATGAGAAGGAAGCTTGTGTATGAATAACTTTTCTTGGCAAAAATCTTTCTTCAATATCAGTTTTCCACTACACTGAGTTATGAAATGTCTATGGATACAACTGGAACTTTCTGTCTGGCTATGAATTATGTCATAACTGTGGCATAGCTCCATAAATGGAGAAAGCTAACTGTTTTCCTCATTTTTAGGTATAAGTTCCATTTCATAATAGCCATAAGACACAGCACACAGCTATTACATTTCTCAAGTGATTACAGTTGCTCAGTGTTTGGTCTCACGCCCTGTAGAAGTGTTAAATTTCTCTGTTTGTAAAGAGCAACCATATACCTCCAGTCTGAATGACCTACATTTAACTTACAGAAAGAGCAAGACTAGAAGGAACAAATATATATATTTTCCACAGGAGAGAGCATACAGTGTTTATTTTCTATATAGTGATCTGCACTACATTTAGGGAATAAAAATTACTTCTGAGCTCTGCACATCTAGATCCGATCCAAAGCTCATTGAAGAAATGGGATTTGGATCAGTCCCAGAGAGAGTGCTAGGAGTGTAAAACTGCAGTACATTCAAAGCAAAAGTCTCATAGCTCCAGAACTGCATGTATCACATAAATCAAATTGAAGTGTGCCTTAAACACATTTTGCAGTGTCTTCTTTGTTGTTGATAGATACTGCAACATTTACTGTGCCTCTAATGCTATGAATATGTGAGCAGTTTTAATTAGAGGAAAAGTAGTAAGGGTAAGATAGATCTCTTGAAAGCTGAGAACACAACTCATCCATCAGTAGGACATCACCTAGTATATGGAATATACTGTATATGGAATATTGCTAAGAATTTACAAATTTTTTAGGAATTCGAAGGTAAAATAAATTCATACAAAGACATCTAACAATACAAATTTCATAGCATTGTATTAGCATTCTTCATTTAAATGTCAAAAGGTCTGATATATGACAGCAAGGCATCTGTTAGCTTATGAAACATGCTGACATCGTTTCTAGCAGTTCTTTTGAAACACTGAACACATCAGGAAGAGAAAATGCATTTATGTTATTCTTCAAAAGGATTAAAACAATCTGAGTTCTTTGAAATATAAAGTAAATTTGGAATATTTCAGTGTTCGTCTAATAAACATTTGGAAAAACATTTCCTTCATTTAAATTAGTTATTTTTTCGTTACTAAAAAAACTATAAAATAATAATGCTGTGGCATTCTGTCGATTACAAAGTCATGTAAGCTTCTTCCCAAATTCTATAACCCCACTCCTCTTTTTTTTTTTTTTTTTAAGGCTGCAAGATATTTTTAAAGCTTTCAGTGAAATCAAAATCCAACAGAAATATTTTTTTCTGTTTGATTGCAGCCAATAACCACATTACAAAGTTGTGACTGACTTGTAATTGGGGAACCTGCTGTGGTCCCACAGGTTTCTCTGTTTATACAAATACTCCAGTGTATAAATACTCATTTACTGTATATATGCATCCATGCATATTATGTTTAAGTGGAACTAGGATGCTAGCCGTAACGAAAGTGTAAAAGGCACGTTCTTTTCATACTGCAACTTGCAGTGTGTAGATTTAATATATGATGTTTCGTTTAGTGATATAACCCACTGACTGTTTTGTTGATTTTGGTAGAGTAATGCCTAGAAAATGGATGCTTCAGCTGCCAGCATCCACTTCATAGGGTGATAACATGTTTGAAAGTAAATAGAAGAATCAAGGCAGCATGTAACTGTACTACTGGAACTAAAAAGGAAAAGTTACGAAAGCAAACTAATAATGCTAAAATTTATGCTACATTGCTGGTTTTCTAAAAAATGTTATTCCCAAATGGCATCGTGGTGTATTCCACCACAGATTTCTTGGTAGTCCTTGACTAGGAGCACAAATGAGGGAACACTCTTTTTTTGCTGTATGTGAATGTGGTGCATGTATCTACAGTGAAGGGTAACTTACACTTTCTACCTTCATGGTTCCCAGTAAGGCTTTATGTTTCACCCTTCACCACTCCAGAGAGCTGAAGAATTGGGAGGTGGAAGGCTGCAACATTGTACGGGGACGTTACAGTGCCATGCATTTATGTGAATCTGATGGTAGTGCCAGTTTGCAGTTAACTGTGATATACAGGTTGTCCTTTGGAGTCCTCCAATCCTTCATGTTCTGGGCCACAGATGGCATTGGACCATAAGAAGTCTTACGAACAGCTAGTGTTGAAAATGTTATGGTTCAAGGAGGAAAGTGTCTTCAGAGAAATGGAAATTGGCCTGAAAAACAGAATCTGTAAAATATAAACATACCTGGCTCAGGTAGAGATTATGCTGAAGAACCTCATAGACCATTTTAACCATTTAAAGATAAAGGCTGGTTTATAGTTTGATTTTCCTAAATTATAAGGTTGCTTCAGTTCTGATTTACTGATATACATTAGAATGTATTTTGATTTTTTTTTTTTTTTTTTTTTCCTCTGGAAATCCATGTTTAAAACAACTGCAATCTATTAATTTCCTTTTAAGTTCTTGATCTATGTAGAGAGTGAAATAATAACGCCAGGCTTCAATTTTGCACATCTTAAAGAAAATGTGTAAGAGAAGTTTGCAGGGTCACACTCAAAAATTTTATATTCAAACCCTCTTTCTTCGTGAGGAGAAAGCTGCAGTCTGAATTATAATATTACAGTGTCTCTAATATCAAGCTTATCATTATTTCAAGGTCCATCAAGGACAATATAATAGAACAATAATAAAAATTGTTGTTGTTTCCTGAAAATATATTAACTTTAATTTTACTTTTCTTCCTACTCCTCTAGAAACGGCAGTTAAAATATATCTTTAAGCAAAGAAAAAAAATATATAAGAGAGAAAACATCACTAAAATATGAACCAGAAGTGTCTGCTTTGGAGAAGTGTTTCCATCATCCACTCAAACCCCTCTTAGTGCAGGGACCAAATTTAGCCTCTGGATTTGCAGTCTAGCTAATGACAAGAAATAGAATAATTTAGAAAGTTCTTTCTCTCCACTGATTACAGAGAATGCTTAAGTTAATAACAGGGTTTTAGGTACTTCAGTAAAGGTACTTAAAGGCAGGTAAAATGAATCAGCACCTCAGTTTTCTGAAACTGGAATCACAAGAAGACCCAGATGCCTGGGACTTCATGTCTGGTTGTCTAATGTTAGTCAGCTCAGAAACACTGGGAGGGCAAAAAAGTGTGAAATCATGCAGCTTTTTAAAATTGGAGACACCCTTATTCATTCATGTCAGGTGCTGCTGGATCCTTCCTGAAGACAGATAGTAACATTTGTTGTCTCAAAACCATTGCAGGTTCACGTGTTCCTTAAAGTGTGATTTTAGCCATATATTGTAATGTAGCAATTACATGACTTGCTTGAAATTTGGATTTGATGTTCAGTTCCTTTTCCTGCCTAAGGGGGATAACAAAACGTTATGTTCCTTTTCTCAGAATAGTGCCCTGCCACTGTGGGAACGTTTTTAGGGCAGTCTGTAGAAGGTAGTGCATTGCACTGGAAGCGAAAAGCAAAATCAGACTTACCTGGCCAGAAGAACTAGGTTTCAAAGAAGATGTAATTCTCCAATTTAAAAGTGAGGACAGTCTCTAAGGAGGAAAACCATGAATTCCAGTCCTAGGTCCCTCACAAACTCCTTTTTTTGACAAGTAACAATCATTGAAAAACATATCTGAAAAATGTATGGGTGAGTTCCCTTATGCCTGTGCCAAATCATGTTTTTTTCTTTGCTCACTTCTTGAAATTTTCGTATGAGCCAGTTTCGACAGGAAGCTGAAGTGGGAGTTGAACTTACCATGGCTAGATGAGCAGTTAAAGAACTACTTACTTTATTAAACTTAAGTAGAGCCTGTGCCTGATTTTTATAAAAAAAAAAAACAACACTGTCCAAAAATTTCATCACTTCAAAACAAATTGCTTCGTGTTAACAATGTGAAGTCTTTTAAATTTAGGATAGCTGTGGGATTTTTGGATTATAGAAACTGAAGTTTTCAGAAAGAGGACCCTTTTATTGACAAATTTGGAAACTTGTATTTGGAATTTGCAAATGTATTCCAAGTGATACAAATGTTGATAAAGGACTATAAGCCCATTAGAGCATTTTCTTCTTCCTTGACTTAAGCAAGAGTCTCCACACATAACTGCTATACTGAGTCCCCCCAGGGTTCAATATTTAACTAATCTCCTGTCTCCTGTGATAGCTGATAGCAGATGCCCAGGATAAGAATGTAAGAAAAGTGTAAAGAATATCCTTTCTCAAGTTCTACATATAAGTAGATGATGGTGGCAATCATCAGACTGAGGTTTTGTAAATTTATCATAAGGAGGGATGGAACAGATTGGAAATGCAGTAATGAATTTGATCTGTCCTGGTATAAATCTCTGCAACAGGGTAGCTTGACAGGCGTCATTTGTGAGAAGTGTGTTCTGGCTTGTAAACTGGTGAAGTTTCTGTTTAGCTCACTCATTGCTGGGATTGTGTTTTCTTTGTTCAGTAACAATTTCTTAAGGATATCTGAGTAGGTGCTTGTGATTCTTCAGTAAAACAACAGAAACCTGTCCAGCCTGAGTGTGTGGTTTGATGTGTTTTGCAAACATGGGCACTGTAAGTTCACACAGCTGTAAAACTTGAGAATATCCTCCTGTGGCCTCCCACGCTCACAGATAGTTACCTTAGATCTCTTTGCAGTGTAGGGGCCACCACTGAAGGAAGGTGGGCCTGTCACTGAGTAGGATTTATCAAAATCAGTGCAAGCATTCATAGATTTTAATTTTTCCACTGCCTGAAATCTTGAAATGCAAGATACTGTTCATAAACCTTGTTGCTGTTGAAGCCAGAAAGGGTTCCTATAACTCAGCCAGATCCACTATTTTTGTTTGGAGTTTTTTGTTGTTTTTTAAATGAAAAAACAAAGGCTTTTCAAAACTAATATTTGAAAGGAAGTCAGGGAGGGAACAAGAAAACTGATAAAATATTTGATTTTCAAAGGCAGCTGTGTAGAATATGAAAAATATTTAATAAATGAAAAGAAAAATCTCAGACTTCATAATGAAAATAATTTCTGTTTTCTTGCATTTGATTTATATAATTTTGATATAAATTTTAAGGACATAAATCCTCATGCTGCTATTTATGCAAGTACTAACACACATGTTAATGTTTAAAAGTGGTTTATGTCTGATTGAAGTTAATGGTATGAAGAGTTTTGTTGAATTGGGAACCAAGTGTCGAGTTGTCATGAAGGCACGTTAATTTTCTCATCAATGTATTGGTTTTGGTAGCCACTGGGATTCATAGAAGACTATTGTAAAGATGTGGTAACACAAAATTAAGAAAACTAACAGGGCTGCTGGGATTTTAATCTAGAAATAAATTTGTTCTCTCTTGGGTAAAGCCATACGGGAATCAAGTAATTTCAGGAAAACACATGAATATCTTAAAAATTATTTTGGAAATACAGCATTCAGGAAAAACCTATAAAGGTGGTTACTCCAGAAAAGTGAGCTATCCAGAGCAGATATTTTTGTTGTAGAATTTAAAGTAACAAATTACGTTAAAAGCAGACACTGACATAACTGAGTGAGGAGGTTGAAGCTACTGTTCCGTTAAAACTCAATTTCTCTTCAGAAAATTATTCTAAATGAATTATTTGTCTACTTTTTAACAGATGTTATCACAGGGAACTGTTCTCCTGAGAATTGGCTTTATCATTCTGTCCCTGACCTCTTTTGGACTACTTATGGAGAACAGGTAGGATACAAATACACCTTTTTTTTTTTTTTCTTCTTCTCTTATTATGCATAATTTATCATTATATGGATATCTCAAGTGTATCAGAAATTATATTGATAAAGAAATACAGATGCACTCAGACACATATGTTGCTATCTGTTGACTAGAAAATAATACATGACTAACAGCACCTAAACTCAGGAGTGTTCCCGTATCAGTTGTCCCTTGCAGAAAAGTTATGGGATGGACTACTCCTGTCACGCCTCTGTGCTTGCGTTGGCTGGGTCTACATCTCTGGGTCTGGGACACTGGCAGGCCAGTGAGACCTACAGGCTGTCCCAAGGCTGTTCAAGGTCAGACCACAACAGAATTGTCAGTCCTGTGGAGCATGCCGTAGGTGTCAGATACAGTGATGAAAAGCACACAGTGTATCTCGGAGTAGACTCAAAATCATGTGACGGATGGTGTAGGCTTAAGACTAAATTCAACCAGTATGGATTGAAATCAAACTGGATCTTAAATACACCAGCCCATACACTATGGAAGTAGTCCATACAGGCACCATGACCCTGCAGAAGAATAAATATCAGCTACAGTTTCTTTACAAAGAAACTATGCCCTGCCAGAGCAGAAATGTGGAATAGAAGCTTCCTTGGAGACTGAGGTGTCAGTTCTGCTTTGCACCTGCTGTTCGATGTTTTCAGAAAGGAATACCTTTCATTTGTATGGGCTGAACAATTTATTTCAGGATAAATAGAAATTGTGAATATGCCAGAGATGTATATAACTTAGGGAGTTAATAATGTGCGTTAGTAAACATTTACAGAAACAGACAAATGAAAAGATTCTGAACTACTCATGTAGCAGTTTTCAGAATTTTGCTGTTGTCATTTCTGAGATCAAAAGAGGATAGCTATATATGCAGCTACCTTTGTGAGAACTCATATGTAGTTTGTGAGTATGTGTCTTCTCGCACCTAGCCAATTCAGTGTTGTAAGTCCATGTAAGGTGTATACTATGAAAACTTAACTATAAGATTAAGAAAGGTGACTTCGTATAAGTGCAGGAGATCACAGGCTATTTCTACCTTCTCTTTTTCACTGAAATTAACAAAGAAGAAAAGATTGAATGTTAATCTGAATTAATTCCTGTTTCTAGGCCCAAAGCAGGAATTTCGGAAATCATCCGCTGTTTAGTCTTCATAGGTGTGTACAAACTTGGCTACTTAAGGAGTCAGTTTTCTTACTTGGGCTATGTTTATGAGGTAAGACATTTATTTTGAAATGTCTATGCCAATGGCTCTAGAATTTTTTATCTTTTTAGAAAAAGCAGAAACACTAAACATATATTTTGCTTCCTTATTTTTTATTATACTATTTGAGTAGAATATTGATTTATTTCTTATCTGTTTATTTCTTACTTTTTGTGATTAACTTGAAAGAAAATTATTGGGTTTTTCTGTAGAGATACCAATTTCCATTGAAAAAAAGTCAGGAAAGTGTATATATACCATCTATTGCAAAAATAATTTATTAGTAGACATATGCTCTGAAGACAATAATAAAAATGTGTTGCTGAATTTGAACTTGATTAACTCACCTTTTCATGGGACAAATCTGAAAATACTTGGAGGCTGAAAGAGTCTTAAATATCAAATATTTTGTCTGTACTTATACTGTACCTCTGAAACAGACTTTTAGCCCTTGACAAAGGTAGGATGCTGGACTAAATAGACTTCCGGTGTGATTAAGTATGGTTGCTTTTGGGTTACTAGGACTTATTTTTATCCTGTTTGTGACTTTTACTTTTTGAGCTATCTTTTTCTTTTTTTCAGTACAGGTGGTATTTCAGAATAGCTCTTTTGATGTTATCTGAATAAAATAACACTAAATCATTAATATGATTCTGATCTGAATAACATTCCCAAGCTACCTAGTGCTGGTTACCAGCAAAGACAGTTATCAGCAAGGTTATGAACAGGTTGCTGGACTAGTAGAACTGTTACCAGAAAGTTACCTTTTGGCTTAAAACCAGAAAAAATGAGATAAAACAGTAGAGATTGAGCCTCAAACCAAGTTCAAAATGGTTCCTTTGACTTGAAACATCTGTTAAATTTATAGGAACTTTCCTAATTGGAGGTTTCTGGTAGTAGTGCTGATTCCCCCGCTTTTCTAAAAGATCAGGCAATAGTATAATGGAAAAATATGCTACTGTGGGTCTTCTTTTTTCTTTGTTGTTGTTGTTGTTGTTGTTTTTGTTGGGTTTTTTGTTTGTTGTTAGGTTTTTTTAACCTGGGATAGGAAACCATAACTATTGGACAATATTTAAAGCTAGATAAATACCACTAATCAAGAATGGGTTTGATTTTTTCCCATTTAGTTACATTGTCAAAATTTTGGTATATAGATCAAACAGTTCTTGAATTCCTTTGATAAGAGTGTGCCAGAATTCACAAGATATTTTAAGGATTTTTACTTGCTTAAATACCATTTGGAAAATGTTTTTATTATTTATTAAGTAACCTACTATAGTAGAGGCTACTGAAGGAAAGAATTCTAAAATTTGGCAATTAGTTCTATAGCCCTTGAGATACAGCTCTCAGACTTGACTTATTTGAGTATTCTAACTGAATTTGCAGAGAATTGTATGTCAAAATATACACTCTGAATTAAAAAAAAAAAAAAAAAGTACTTGCCTTGCTGAGGAGTGTGTGTAAACATATGTAACACGTGTAAAAGTGTCTCTTTCTAAGAAAGTAGTAGAAATAAAATTATCAGGTTATTCTATTATTTGTAGGGAACTATACAGCTTTCATGAAGATAGTAAAATAAAATGGTTCTTACTCTATTCTTTACATGTATCTATCAAACTTTTAACTGCCATCTCAAGTTTTTCCTACTGTACTTTCCTATCCTTTCTTCTGTCTAGTATTTTTCCTTCTATTCTTTATATTATACTTCTCTGTACTCTTTTTTTAGTCCCTTTTTTGGTACTAAGTAATCCATTTTTATCAAGAAACAGGAGTACCTTGCTCACATTTTTTTTCTTGGAAAATACTGAAAAAATAGGCAAAAATATCTTTTGCTCTCAGGGACACCAGAATAGATAATGCTTCTGAGTAATGCCAATACGCCGACATATATTTTTATTATATATCACAAGTTTGTGATACTAATAGCTTTTGTGATCATAGAAGCATAGAATAATATATTATTAATATTATTGGAAGGGACCTTCAAAGGTCATCTAGTCCAACCCCCCTGCAATGAGCAGGGATATCTTCAACTAGATCAGGCTGCTCAGAGCCCTGTCTGACCTGACCTTGAATGTTTCCAGGAATGGGGAATCTGCCACCTCTCTGGGCAACCTGTTCCTGTGTTTCACCACCCTCATTGTAAAAAATTTCTTCCTATATGTAGTGTGAATGTATATAATGAACTTCAAAGGATCCCCCATTTTGATATAAATGATCTGCTTTTGCTCTTATGGCATACAATTTCTGGATTCATGGTATGAATGTTCTTATGAGTGGTAATATTGTTATAATGGGATTTATGATAAAAAAATTCTGAGCAAAGGGAAACTGCCAGAGATTTGTCAGTTCATGTTGAAAAGTCTTCAAATATTGTTTTAGCTCAATATTGACCTGATCATTTTGTACCAGTAACACCAGAAAGCAAAATCGATAGATAGATAAATAAAAGTTTTTCACAGAAATTAGGTCTAAAATTTGTCTTTAAAATTGTTTTTGTTCAAGATTCAAACAGGTTATCTATCCTTCATAGTATAATAGTGTAGATAACTTTTAACATCTTGTGAGGCCCATAAACACAGACCTCTCTCGTAAGAAATTTTCAAAATTTCTACTACGTATGTACTAGTAGTTTTTTATCTGCTTGCTTTTCAACTTCCTTTGCTCTGTTCCACTTTTCAAATCCACTTAACATTTTTGAAAGGTGCAAATTAAAACATCTATTTAAGCTTTTCATTTGCCTCTGGTAAATATTCAATTTTTAACATGCACCTGGATTTAGCTGACTTTGATCTGTTTAATGTTATATTTCTAGTACTCATAATCTGTAATGTAATCACTTGAGTGATGTCCTCCTTGCGTCATCATCCTTATATGTTACCAAATAAACAATTTTTTAGTAATAAAATATTCATGAGCAATAGGAATGAATGCACAATATCATGTAAAAGAATTTCTGTTTACTTTTTTTTTTTTTTTGTCTATAAATTGTGCCTTTCAGGGCACTTACTTAGGGATGAAGAAAAATTAACTGCAAGAGGCGTGATAGCACTTCTCAGTGTGTCTAGAATTGAACAAATAATTCTGTCCCAGCATTCTTAAGTTAATGGTGCACATTGCAGCAAAGTGTAAGACTGATTTTGCCAACAGCATGTTGGATAATTAGTGAAAAAGTATGAGACTCCTGACTATATGTTCGGTTTTCTGCTGTGACTGTTTCATATGTTGATATTTCTCATTAATGTTTTAGAACCAGTAGGTAAGGTTTCAGATCTTTGCAGTTACTATTTGCGGGGTACTCTAACTAGCAAAAATAGGTGATTTAAACTGCAGATTATTGCATTTGGCTCATAAGAAGGTCTGACAGTTATCAGAACTACTGCATAGGAAGAAGTCCGCCTAGATGAAAGCTAGAAGGAAAATACAGAAGTAGTGAGAGAAAAGTAGGGGAGCAATGAGAGAGAACAACAGAGGAAACAAGGAGCAAGCCTTTCTATTTTTTCCATTAAATTAGCTCAGGTGAGTGTGAAAAAAGCAGCTAAGGATTGCAATTCCATCACGAGGAGCAGTCCTGTCCTCTGGCTCCAGCCTCTTACCCTCACTGCCCAGCTAATTGGGTTAGCCGGCTGGTCTGATTTGTGAAGCCAAAGATTCTTCTTCAGCTAAGTGATGCAACTTGCGGTGGATTAAGAAAGGTTCCTAATGCTGAGGCTCAGGGAAGGTGGAAGTAGAGGGGTGTAAGAAGGAAGGACTTCTGGTTTTGCTAAACCTGCAATCTTAATATGGTTGTTAACTGTGTCCACAGTCTAGTAAGTACAGCACTGGTTCTATTGATACTTTGATGTTCTGTGTTACCAGCCTTGGTTCCACGAGAAAACTATGTTATTTTAATGATTATTTAAAGATATTGTTATCCCTGCTATTGTATGTGAAGTCTAGGGGATCTTTCCTTACCCAAACAAGACAGTAATTTGAAGTTATCAAAGTTAGAAAAGTGACCTTTTTTCCCTTCTGGGAGCTGGAACTATGCATGTTTCTTAGCATGTGTTTTCTGTTCCTTGTGCTGCCTGTATTTCATATGGATGGTTAGGTGAAAGAAGCAGGGGGTTTTGGTGTTTGTATTTTTTTTTGGGGGGGGTTTTCCTGTTTTTAAAAGAAGTGGTGATGTTTGAGGAAATTTTTATTCAGATCTTGAGAAAATTGTTTCTTGAGTGCAGGTCACTGAAAACCTTGATGATGGGGCAGAGATATATTTAACTGGTTGTAGACAGCGAACTAAGGAGCTAATGTGTTTCTGCTTGGGGATGTGTGCTGCCACGAGCTATACTAGTTAGTTTTCTTTAAGCTGATTACTTCATGGCTTTGTAATGTGGTCATCATGTGTGTTAATAAAGCCAAATCATTTTCTGTCAGACTGGGCCTGGAGTCTCCTAACCACCTGGAGGTAGCAAAAAACATTGCTTGGGTGTTCAGTTATGTGACAGTTTAGCAGGCACAATATGTAAAAATAAATCTGTGATGATGGTGCACCTCTTCAAAGTGTTTCCATCCAACTGCTCTGGTTTGGCATCGGCCAGCATATTCCATGAGCTGATTTTGGTCAAGCACTGGCTGTTATTTGACAGTAGTACTAATGAGGAGCAAGTAGAAATGAGAGCCATTGACATGTTGTTGGAACTCTTGTCTTAAATATTTTCACCAGCTCTCATAGTGGCTGCAATTTGGTACTGAGAAAGACTCTTAAACTAAAGGGCTAGGAGTGAGGAAGGTAATACAGACATCTGTCTTGATGTGCTTGTTTATCTTTTACCTTTGTTTCAGCTAAGGTATTGTATCTGAATTTTCTTCACCCAGACTCTGTCTGCACTGCAATTTCCTGGGCTGCCTGGCTGTGAAAGCCCTGGCAGGCATGTATTAATTTATAGGTAGGAAGGACAAAAATGTAGGACAACTTTCACTGAGGAAAAGAGAGGAAAAAAGAGAGGTTGTGATATTTAAAATTAATAACTTGT